GAAACCAAAATCCCAAGACAAAGTTGGTAAGGATAAATTCGACGGAAGGAATTTTGAGATCACCTCATTTTTATAAAAGGAAACAGAGTACAATGAAGGAAAAAGGTCTTTCAAAGGGAGATCTCCAACCCAAATGTCCTCCCAAAACTGAATAGAATTACCTGGGCAAGCATCATACCTGACACAGCTAAGGAACAAGCATCCCCAGTTCAAAATTTCTTTATCTCCATTTTTTGGCATCATCACTGTTACTGCATATTAGCCGGTTAGCATATTTCCAACCTATTTCATATTGTCAATTGCATTTTTAATTTTCCATAGAGAAGATAATTTTAGTGAAATTGTGTTCAATGAATTGGGAAAATTTCTCTTAAGCTTATAGGTTATCATTTATTTTCCAACTTCCTCTTTGTTGTTCATGTTGCAATTTCCTATTTATCATATTAAACTTGTGGCGTGATTCCTAAACAGCCCAATCATTTCTATGGATCCATGCTTATTGGTACAGAATGTTCTTTTTATTTTTCAAATTCAGATGTTAATTGATATTGTGAAATTGCTCTCTTTTGTAGCAATATGGTGCTATAAGGACCCTTTATACTGCATGCAAGCATAGGGGCTTTGTGATGATTTCTTATTATGACATCCGGGCTGCTCGGACGGCTATGCGTGCACTACAAAATAAGCCCTTGCGACGGAGAAAACTTGACATTCACTTTTCAATCCCAAAGGTTCAAAACAAAATTTGTACTTTTCAAATTAGGTTACTTTCATGTTTAATTACCATCATTTACCTGTTTCATGCCTTAACATTTTTTCCCCATGCCAGGATAACCCATCAGATAAGGATATTAATCAAGGAACTCTTGTAGTTTTCAATTTGGATCCATCCGTTTCAAATGATGATCTCCGTCAGATTTTTGGGGCTTATGGGGAAGTTAAAGAGGTGAAAAATTATTTTCTTATACACTATTCATATTTTTTTTATTTAGTTTCTATTCATTTCTTCTAAGTGGTTAACCTGTGGATATTGGGTGTTTTCTTGTTTCATTAAAAGCACAGATCAGGGAGACACCACACAAGCGGCACCATAAATTTATTGAATTTTATGATGTCAGAGCTGCAGAAGCAGCACTTAGGGCATTAAATAGGAGTGACATTGCTGGGAAACGCATAAAACTTGAACCTAGCCGACCTGGTGGAGCACGCCGGAAGTGCGTAATACCCTCTCTCTCTCTCTCTCTCTCTAATACACAGACAATTATGCTTATGCACCATTTAACTTTATTATCTTTTTGTATAGTTCCTTGACCTGTCCCTTTACCCTTGCCTTGTTTTTTTTATTGGATTTACCCCTGCCTTATTTCCTCAGTAATTCAAGTCTTTTTTTGTTTTACTGGTAAAATATTCAACATTTTTTCATTAATCATTTCAAGATTATTTCCTAAATTATTTCATTAGAATTATCAACAATTCAACATCCAGGGACAGTGGTGGGATGGAGAGTTGTCTTAAAATGGATGGAGCAGGGTGTTGAATCTATAGAACTAGGACCCTCCAAGTTGTTAAACTCAACTTGGATGCTTTTATCCTTTGTCAAAGTTGGGCTGTCTTTATAGTTCAAGTTAAAAACATTCTAACCATGCAAAACTAAACAGGCTGCAATATTTGAATTTTCATTATGGTAGTTATAAAATTGCCATGGCCAATAAATTAGCAGGTCAATATTTAATTGATGTGGCCAACTAAAAGTAATTGACAATGATGAGACATTTCTGTATTCAGTACCATGTTAATGAGCAATTAGATTCACACAGGTTACTTCTAAGTTGATAAAGATTTTCTCAAACATTAATTTTATTATATATTGCTTAGACAATTTTATTTTTATTGGAACAGTTCTTATTATGAATAGATGACTTGCTAAACTTCTGGATCTCTTTGTTTTTGGAAAGAATAAGTTTTGCACTTTGAATTCTTCTCATTAGATGTGGCAACATTGTTTTCTTTTTTTTTTTTTATCATTATCACTGTGGTTTCCATTTGCTATTTGTGTGCATTGTGTAGAATAGTGTCAAGCCACGCTGATATTTCTTACTCTGAAGTTCTAGTCTATTGACTGTTGGTTTATTCTCCTACTCTTTGATTTTCTAGTTTACTATTTTAAAATTCAAAAGCACTGCTTTGTATTCAGCTTGATGCAGCAATTGAGCCAAGAGCTAGAACAAGATGAAACTAGGAGTTTTCGACATCAAGTGGGTTCACCAATTACTAACTCCCCTCCTGGTAGGTTCTCCTTCAATTCTTGGTCATGTTTGACCGTTTTTAATCTCTTCTTGATCCGTTGTGTTTCTTTTATTTTGTACTATTTGTCCTTTTTTTATCAGTAACTTTAAGCAATTATATTTGTCCTGTTTCTGTTGTAAATTTGAATTTTATTAAAAACTGAATTGAGTTCCAAATTTATGACAGGTAACTGGGCCCAATTTAGCAGCCCAGTTGAGCATAGCCCTTTGCAAGGTCTGAGTCAGTCTCCTGGTTTAGGAACAGTTAATCCTATGAATGGCAATCATTTGCCTGGCTTAGCTTCCATTCTGCCTCCTCTTGGATCAAACTCTATGAAGATTGCACCTATTGGTAAGGACCAGGGACGGGTTACCCATGTGGACTCTGTATTTGCCAATAACAATTCGACACATGGAACTGCCTATCAGCAATCTCATTCCTTTCAAGAGCCAACCTTGAGCCCAAGTCCTGGAACTGTTTCTTCTTTTGGTCCATCAACCTCAAATGCATCTGGTATTGGAACATTGTCAGGTCCCCAATTTCTGTGGGGCAATCACACACCTTACTCAGAACATACTAACTCTTCTGCATGGCCAACACCATCTATGGGACATTCATATACATCCAATGGGCATGGGCAGGGCTATCCTTACTCCAGTCGGCATGGGTCTTTCCTTGGTTCATCACACCATCATCACCATCATGTTGGATCTGCTCCATCTGGTGTTCCTTTTGAAAGGCATTTTGGATATTTCCCTGAGTCCCCAGATACATCCTTCATGAGCCCAGTGGCTTTTGGAGGCATGGGTTTAAACCGCAATGAGGGTTACATGTTGAATGTTGGTGCTCGTGCTGCCATGAATAGTGGAGTTCCTATATCAGGAAACATTTCAGAAAATGGTTCACCCAATTTCAGAATGATGTCTTCACCAAGGCTGGGTCCTATGTTCCTTGGGGGTGGGCCATATCCTGGCCCTGGAACCAGCATAGAGGGTTTGGCAGAACGGGGGCGTAGTCGCCGTGTTGAGAACAATGGAAACCAGCTAGATAGCAAGAAGCAATATCAGCTAGATTTGGATAAGATCATTAGTGGAGAAGATACTCGTACTACCCTAATGATCAAGAACATCCCTAACAAGTAAGAACAGTCCTCCATGTCCTTAATTGTATGGGTGGCCCTCTTTATTGCTGCAGACATTGAACTCATTGATTATATCCCAATTCTTTTTCTTTTTTTTTTCACCAGGTACACCTCAAAGATGCTGCTGGCTGCCATTGATGAAAATCACAGGGGTACCTATGATTTTCTCTACTTGCCAATTGATTTTAAGGTAATTTTGTTTTGGGGTATTTTGGAGAATTATTTATTATTTTTTTCTTTTTCTTGTAATTTTTTCTGCGCATCAGTTGATCTGCAATTGATTTATGATATTCTGTGGATGCAGAATAAATGCAATGTGGGTTATGCATTTATCAATATGGTCTCTCCTTCCCACATTATCCCCTTCTATGAGGTACAGTGCTCTTTAGTCTTGAATGATTTTGATGATTTTTTTTTGCAATTTATTTATATGTAAAGTTTAATGGACTGAAAATAGAAGAGCTTAATTTGCATGTCTTAACGATATGATACCCTACTTGGGAGGAGAGTTCATAGCATCCTAATTCCAGTTTCCAGATAGCCTGACTGGCACCTCACTTGCCAGAAAAAGAGTTACAGGGGTCCCATTTTCTATTGTAATATGTGCATAGCAGAATCTTCTACGGTCTAACTTAGGCTTCTAATACTTGTGCAGGCGTTCAATGGGAAGAAATGGGAGAAATTTAATAGTGAGAAAGTTGCTTCTCTGGCATATGCTCGAATACAGGGTAAGGCAGCCCTTGTTACTCACTTCCAGAATTCAAGCTTGATGAATGAAGACAAACGGTGTCGTCCAATTCTATTCCATTCAGAGGGCTCAGATGGTGATCAGGTAACATTAGTAATTAAAAAAACTGTTTTATCTTGTGATATTTTGACAAAAAAGCTAATGTTTTACAAACATTTTCATGGAATGCTGAAGTTGACATCCAAATAATTTTTAAAGAACTAAGGGTCTCTCTAATTTTGGGTAATTTTTTAAAGAACTGCAACAGCTTTCTATCTCTTGAATCATAGAAAGACAAAAAACAAAGATACTTGTGCAAATATAGGATGGTTAGCCCTTTTGTGATATAGGGATCACCATCGTTACATCTCTCTGTTAGCATTTCTCTGCCATTTTCTTTTTTCCACTTATCCCGTCTAAATGTCATGAGATTTTGTGTGTAAGCTGTGTTTTTTCCTAAAATAAGAGGTTGGGTGAAGCATTCACCGACTGTTTCATGTTTTCTTGTGTTTGTAGATCATCCAAGAACCGTTCCCATCCAATACTATGAATATCCGTATCCGTCAGCCAGATGGTTCTTACTTGGGGGATTCACCAGAAAGCCCTCCAAAGGGTAGCTTGGCTGAGAAACTAGAGAAGAGTTAACACTAAACACGTAGAAGGCAGCTTGCTCTCAACTCAAATGAGATGATAGCGATGAGTTCTAACTGTTGCGTAGATATTTCAAGTGTATAAAATTGGCAAGAGAAAACCCAGAAAAAAAAAAGCAAAAAATATTGTTAATGTCTGTATCATAGGCATTTTCCACTATTTGAGCGAAGTTTGTGCCCAGAGCAATTCACAACTCACAAGAAATGCTTTGAAGGAAGAAGCAGAGGGAGTGTTTTATTTGTGTAGAGTCACAGATTGATATTTAAGGGAAGAGAATAAGGTGAAGAAGAAGCATACAGTTGAAAAAGTGTGCATTCTCTCTGCTGCCAAATGCACACATCTCACCAGTTGGTGCATGACTTCTCTCTTCTTTTTTTGTCTAGTCATTGTAATGTCGGGGATGGGGTTGGATTATATTTGCAAATATGAATACGGTGTCTATATGGGGGGTACATTTTGTATTGAAGTTGAAATTTTTAGGGGCGGTGAAAGGGGCTGTTAGTAAAATTGTATAGAGGGGAGATGGCAGACCCTGCTTTTATGTTGTGTTCAATGTTGTTGTCTTTTGAACTGTGGCAAATTTGTATTTAACGAGACATTCGATTCTGTACAGATCGTGCATCAGATTTTATTGCATCTGTTTTGGTTATTGTCATGGTTTAAAGTATGATTCGGGCGTATGTATCAAAAGATACGGTCCGAAACGTCTGTTTCCAGGTGTTTTGGACACCCAACTTTTTTTAATAATAAAAAACATGTTTTAAGCTTCCCAAAAAATCAAAATTTGAAAAAAAAAAAACTAAAACAAAAGATGTTTCAGCCGTTTTTAAGTACCAATACGATGTGGCCGATATATGTATCGTATCGATACTTTGAACCTTGGTTATTGTCCTATTGGTATGCGGATCAATTAAAAAAGAATACATCAAAAGGCAAAGAGAACTTATCACTAGCCCACGTTGCTTTCATCCATGCATTTCTACCAAGGAATGATCTGTGATATCTTGGGCAAGGTTCAAAATATTGATATGCTTGATACATCGGTATGGGTATCGGGTGATGTCATACTATTTTTATATTTTTTTTTATTTTTCTCGAAACCGGTTTAGGGGGCTTGGTTTAAGATTCCTCCACCCCGTGAACTGGTCAGAACCCTGATACACCCAGGGGAGTATCGGGGAAGTCCAAGAACAATAAGGGTTCTATGAGGATATGCTTGGAAAATGCATCAATAAAATATGAAACTGTCTTGGTTGCGATCTTTGCGGAGACCAAATATGTGCCACACTGAGCCCAAATGAGACAATTCATTTTCTGATGTGATTGTTGAGAAAATTAATTGGATGAGTTACCCAAAACAATATAAATACAAGTTAGATCTATGGTGATGATGATGATTGATGAGTATACATCTCATCATTAATATTATCATCATCGTCATCCATACCTTATCCCAATAACACGGGGTTGGCCACATGAATGATATTTCACCAATCCATTCTATTTAAGGCCATATTCATTGGAGCATTAGTGATTAAATTATTTCTTACAGCTACCTATGCTCTTTTTTGTTTACTCCTAGCTCTTTTGGCCTCTATCACTTGTAAGTTGTGACAAATCACTTCTTCTAACTAGAGCTGTTGGTGGTCTTCTATGTGGTAAGTAAACCATTTTAGTTTACTTTCTCTTATTTATCATCTATTAGAGCTACTCGTAGGTTCTTAATTTTTTTTGGTTAGGCTCCTAGGTTTGTGTGGATGACTTCATTTTTCTTATCATATTTTTTTTAGGTTTTTCATTCATGCACCTTAGCATTCTCATTTTTGCTACATTTATATTTTTTGGCTTTAATGTGTTTGGATAATGAACTCATTAAGAGTATTAATAGTGTATTAAGTATGTAGCTAATCCAAGTAAACTTCTTTGAGATACATATATTACAAGCATCCTGCTGAAAAAGAAGTGGAAACATTACTTAATTTAGTTGAATGAGCTAAACACTACCAACACCATCACCATTTTCATTAAAGTTGAGGATTGCTCCAAAAAAATAAAAGAATGAATGAATTACAAAGGCTAAAAAGGATTTGAAGCAGTTCAAGAAGATTTTTGCTACAATTCATCATGGAGAAAATAAGCATCAAGTGCATGGTCTAAGTGTCACATCTTTTAAGTTTTTTTTTTCTATAATCATTTGCTTAAGATATATAACATAAGATGCTCAATAAGAGCAAATTCAATGAAATCAACTTAGAGATCAATTGACTAGAATATGTTTGGTTCTTAGGCTTCTTGAACTTAAAATCAAGAATTGAAATGTTAAAAATCATTTTTGAAAGCCAAATGATGGATCCCCAAACCTTTAGGTGAATTTTTCTAAGGTTTCTAAGTGTTGGATACATGTAATCGATTATCCAGAAATATATAGTTGACTACCCTTGACAATCGAGGCATGAAATGCCCTAACAGCTAACACTATGATGTAGTTGATTTCCCAAAAAATCATAGTCGAGTACCCATGACAGTTGAGACATGAAATGCCCTTGCACTATTCTATAGTCAACTACCTTTGATAGGCCAAGCTTGAAAACACATATCAATCGGTTGATTGGAATAACTAGTCAACTAGAAAAGAAAAAAGATTCCTCCCTTCATCTAACAGGTGACTATTAACTGATTATAATCAACTACTTTGTCTTATTTTTTGACCCTTTGAAGGCATAATGGTTAGTTCTATTTTTGGTATGCCTTTATCTTCTTGATGACACTTTAAATCATTTCCATGAATGGTAAAAATCTTCCAATAGTTAGAAAATAGTCACTTGTTTTCCATCATTTACAAATTAAAAGTTTTGGCTTGAATCCAAAAGATAAGAAATCAACCTCTGCAAACATTGATATAGTGTGTAGGTGTTTTTTGAGAGCAAGTTTGCAAGAGTCTTTGTTTTTGAAGAGTTATGAGCTTCAATTGTTTCAAGAGTGAGAAAAGCTAAGAAGCCCTTGTGTTTGTATAATCTCACCAAGCTATTTTGAATCTTTTTACTAGGTTAAGCATCTAAGTTTGTTATCATTTGCATCTGAATAGTTTGAGTTGTATCTTGTTATATCTGCCTACTAAGAGGCTTTAGTCTTGCCTATCTGTGCTATGTTGTAATATCATTTAAATGTAGAGGGTGTTTTAGGGTTGAACACCATTAAAGGTTTGATTGGAACCTAAAAGGCCAATCATGGTTTGGTAGAGACCTTGAAGATCTACTAGTTTAGGTTTGGTAAGCACCTGCAAAGTTCTACTAAGTGAGGGTAGAACTCATAAGTCTATCCAAAGTTATAGGAACCTTGAAAAAACTAAAGTTGTAAAAAGTCTTTATTGGCATCCAAGAAGTTTAATTGGTTTGAGTGAGTGGAAATCCTTAAAAGGGTTTCTAAAGGTAGAGGATGTAGGCAGGGTTTGTTGAACCTCTATAAAATCGTACTATTTATTTTCTTGTTTTTTTTTTTTTGCTTTATTTGTTTAATTATAAGTTTATATAGTTACTTGCTACAAACATTACTAACATTCTGTTCAAACTTGAATATCTAGTATTCTTGCGGTTCTTGCTCTTTACTTTTGTTTATTTTCTTATCAACTACAAGATACTAATATTTAGTGCAATTACTAATCTATTAGCCTTATTAATATTCTACTAACTTACTAGCATTTATCTTTTACAATTATTGTGCTTCATTGCGTACTAACATTTATTAACTGCTAACTACTTTAAATTTCCATTGTTGCAGTTATTTGTTTTCATTGTTTACATTAATTGTTTAACTATATCGATTTGATATTCAGTTCATTTACAAGAAGTTATCTATTTGTTCTTGAGATTTCATTTAGTGACCCTTTAATTTTATTTGTTGTATCTTTACTTGATTGAATGTAATCTTAAGTTGCACAAACATACACTTGCAACACACTTACAATGATTGTAAGTGCTTTTGGAGTTATTGTTCATCCTTTTAGTTAATTGCTTTTGTATTCTTTAAGCCTTTCATTCCTTTGCAACCTATTCTATTTATCAAGAAGGCTTAGATTCAATTTTTTGGGGAGGTTTTTAATCCATACCCAATTCATTCCCCTTTTGGTTAAGGTCACAAATCCCAATAATTTTCTAGACATGTTGTTTCTTAATTTCTTAACACTCTACTTCCATACAATATAACAAGTCTTACAACTATTTTATAGAATTTTATTTTTAATCTAAGTTGTATTAACTTATAACACAAAAGTATGGATGCACCCTTCTATTTTGCCCATTCTTTTTCTAATTCTTTAAATGACACCCTCCTCGATCTCTCCCTTGTTATAAATTATTGAACCAATGCATCAGAAATGGTCACCTTGAGTTATCTCTTGATCTCAATCCTAACTATATCGTGATTTATGCACCTATTATTGCTAAATTTATATGTCATATGCTCTACTTTGGTTCTATTTATTTTAAAACATCTTGCTTCTAAGGCATTTGTCCATAAGCTTAATTTTGCATTTTAGTCATTCATTAGTTCCATCAATGAAAACAATGTCATCCACAAATAACATGCACCATGGAACTTCTTGAATGTGCTTAGTAAATTCATCTATGATTAGTGCAAATGGATGAGGACTAAGTGTTGAAAGTGTAAAATCTGAAGTCCCATCCACTAGTGTTCTAACATTGGTTATTGCCCCCTCATACATCTCATTAATATTCAAAAAATATCAATTCTCCAATTGATATGACATGAATAAAAATTAGTGTCTCAAAAGTAAAGATTTGAAATTAATGTGATATCAACAAGTTATCTAAATATGTAGTTATGAGGTCTGATCTATCAAGGGGGTTATAAGAGTTAACTATGGGAGTAACATTGAAGTTAAGTTAATGAGAGCAAGTGATTTGAATTTATCTTAAATCAAAATTTAATTAAATAATTAATAGTAATACCATTCAATACCTTACATAAGGGAATGATAGAAACATCTATGAGTGATATTTTGATGAGTATTGATTAATACCATGATTCAAAGTATCAATATGGATATTTAGGGCCACTAAACATCTCTTCGCTTTGTAGCTACCAAAAACTACTCTAAGCTCTTTTGTTCATTAAAGATCTTTAGCTCATCTGGCTAAGTCCATCTTGTCTTAACCAGCTCGGCCTAGCCAACCATTTACTTGTCTTTGGTAACTCAAGTGTTAGAGTGCTCCTCCCCAGGGAACCACCTCGGGGCCTTTAATGTTTATGTTCATAAGTTGTAGATCATCATATCTCCACCAATTCAATAAGACAATTCATCTACTTTGCTCCTTCACCTCAGCTGGAACAATATCAAATTGGCGTCATTTGTGGAAACTTGAATAAAAAGTTAGTTTCAGCTCTACATATCTCTCTTTTCAACAACAATTCCTCCGAAGAACCACTTTGACAACTCTAGCAATGACTCTCCAAAGGACTCTCACATCGATAACAATGTATCTCTACCTTGTGATCCCTAGGTTCAACTTTCCACCTCATGGTCCTTGAGGACCTTGTCACTACAAACCAAGGTGCAACTTCTCTAACCAACTAGCCTTCCCCAAGGCAAAGTGTGGGATGAGGCTACCAATCAATTGGTAGGGCTAGAACGATTGACTACCATCTCCTCACCATTCCAAGAACAACTCTCCATAGAGCAAAGCTTAGAACGTCTAAAACCCTGAATGCTCCGGTGTTTGAATTCCAACCAAGGAATGCCTTGGCCCTTAGAACCAACATCAGTGTTCTCATGCTAAGTCCAACTTGGTTAGAGACAAGTGCAATTAGTTCCCAAAATTAGGCAAGAGAGATGACGACTTGGGTTCTCAAATCCAAGACATGTGCTAATGGCTCAATGCTATTGAGAGGAGTTGCCAATATTGCTAAAGGGCTTTTGCAGAAGTTTGCATTTCCAAGGAGCCAATGTTCACCAAGGAAATTATGAATGAGTTCCCTCCGAGCTTCAAGATGCCCTAGTTTGAAAAGTATAATAACACCATAGACCCTTGACATTTAGAGCTAGGGATAGGGGTGTCAATTAGACTGGATTTGGTCCAATCCGACCCAGTCCAATGTGAATCCATTATAAATGGACCAGGTCCAATCTAATCCAATGAATGTTTTGGACTAAATTGGACCGGTCCAATTCAATGTCTGGACTGTTCAATCTGTTCAAGTTCATTTTGATTTAGATTAGTTTCAACTCAAACCCGGTCCATTGACACATATATTCTTATCTTATATCAATGGACTAGATATTGGCTTAATCCAACCCAATCCAATATAAATTTGTTACGGATGGACCAGGTCCGGTTCAATCTAATAAATATTTTGAACTGGATTGGTCCAATCCAATATGTCTTGATGGTCCGTTCAATCTATCCAAATTGGTTTTGGACTGGACGGGGTCCAATCCAAAACCGGTCCATTAACACCCTTAGCTAGGGATATGCCTGAAAGGCCTCGAGCAATGACTCCATAACATAAAGCTGAGCCAATACTTGACACTTGAAACTACATATTGGCCCAAAAGGCCTTAGCTAATAGTTTTGAAACATCATAAGCCCTAAACCAAGCCAACCCATAAACACATAGAACTAGGGGTAGACCCAAAAGGCTTCAACTTGAAGCCTTTTTCTCTGCATTACAGAATTGTAAATGACACAGAGAATGGATAAGTTGAACAAAATTGTGTTTTCATTTCATTCAAATTTGTGTTTGAGGACCCAAGTACATCTGTGAAAAAAAAAAAAAAAACTTAGACATTATGAAAGAAAAAGAAGTGAGCAAGAGTGACAAGCACCCCTAAGAAGCTTGTCTTGTGCTAGCAGAGCCATGTTGAAATATAGTTTAACTAACCAGCATGCAAGAATAGAAAGCTGCATTAAGGCCTTATTTAACCAATCTATGACTAGAAGGGATTGAGTATCATGGCTTGGTAGGAAGGTCAGTAGCATCATTGGCAATTTGATCTGCCACCTCAGTCTTGTCACTAGTAGGGGTGTCAATTGGATTGGATTTGGTCCAATCCGCCAATGTGAGTCCATTATAAATGGACCAGGTCCAATAATCCAATGAATGTTTTGGACCAATTTGGACTGGTCTAATTCAATGTTTGGACCATCCAATCTGTTCAAATTCATTTTGATTTAGATTGGTTTCAATCCAAACCTGTTCAATCCAAACCTGGTCAATTGACACATATATTCTTAATTATCTTATATCAATAGACCAGATATTGGCTTAATTCAACCCAATCCAATATAAATTTGTTATGAATGGAGCATGTCCAATCCAATCTAATAAATATTTTTGACCGGATTGGTCCAATCCAATATATCTTATTGGTCCGTCCAAATTGATTTTGGACTGGATGGGGTCCAATCCAAAACCGGTCTATTGACATCCAAAACATTTTGTCACATGGCCAAAGGCCACACAGCTACCCCTTTGGGTTGGACTTTAACACCACCACGTTCTCGCGGGCCATCTTTAATGGTCAAGGTTAGGGATGGCAACGAGCCAAGCTTTTCACGAGCTGCTTGAGCTCGGCTCGGCTCGATTTCAGCCGAGCTCAAGCTCGAGCTCGAGCCCAATTCAGTGGCTCGATTATTAAACGAGCCGAGCTCGAGCCTACTAGAACTCGGCTCATGAGCCGGCTCAAATATATATATATATAATAAAAATATTATAATTATTAATTATTATAAATCTTAATTTTTTAAATATAAAATAAAAAAAATTATATATATTTTTATTTTTATAAAATATTTTTTTTTCTAAATATTTTTAAATATAAAATGAGCTGAGCTGAGCCAAGCTCGAGCTTATGAACTCTTGACTCGAGCTCAAGGTTCTAGCTCGAACCGAGCTCGAGCCTGGTACTATTCGGCTCGGCTCAGCTCGAATCCACCCGTAGTCAAGGTAGAACAACTGCCAATCTTTCGACGCCCACGCTCCCTTTCAGACAAGGGGAAATTTCTTCTTTCTTGCTTAGGCCTCCTCAAGTTGCCTACTCTATCATCTTAGAAAACCATCTCAGAATCTGCAAAACTAGTTGAAGTCAATACCTCATAGAATAAACAGAAAGGGAATGAACAAAATCAATGGCTTGGTGACTTTATTACCTGGTTCAGCTTGGCACAAGCCCACTCGAATCAGGACCGGCCATCTTCTTTAAGTCCCTCTTCTCCTTACACAATGAGATCGGCTTCAGTCAGGGCAAGCTCATGCTCACACTGTCCCAACAGCCTCTTGCAACCTTGCATCAGGAATATCTCTCCATGAAATAAAGCACATGAGAAGGGAGATATTCTCAATGCAAGGCTGTAAAGCCTGCTCAAATGGGCATTGCCCTGACTGAAGCCAAACTCTTACACAACATGTTCACCTTTGATGTCTTCACCTTAGTGCATGGGATAGTGACCTTGGTATCTAAGGGCCATTCGAAGACTCAAAGAAGAACCACCCCTTCCAACCATGGATTTGAGGACAAATCCCTACAAAGGACCATTGAGTTCGAGTTCAATTGAACACCAACTAGTATCTAAGAGAAACATAAGGCTAGCCATGAGACTGTCTTCATACACATACAACTCGTCTGATTCATCAAGAAAACTCACCTGCTTTACTTGTCCACCTAAGCTTGGACAACATCAACTGTATTAATTGGTCTATATTAGTTCGTATTGAGTATATTGACAAATACCAACCATATTTTTAAAACTTAAATTTATATGTTTATTAATTGTGGTTGTGCCATTCAATCCATTGAATCCCACTTCTCATTAATTATGCATTTAATCACCTTTTATATCCCATTAGATGTGGACTAATGGTATATTTGGTTCATGTCAAATACATTTTGTGAAAAGTGAACTAATGAAAAGTAAGATATTTTTAATGTAATTAGTTGAGAATTGGATTTAATGTGTCAACAAGGTTAATGAATGCATAGTAGTTGAACTCTAGAAATTGTAATAGATCTAATGTTTTTTAAATAAGATTAAGTAACATTTTAATAACAATATAATTATTATTTAAAAATAACAATAATATTTATGTAATATTTAAAACATAAGATAAATTTTATTTTCTCTTTTTGTAATACACAAAAGTAATAATAAATTAGAAAATAGTTTATTTTGTAATTAAAATATAATAGTTGCATTTGATTTGTGTCTTGGATCATCTATATTTCTCATGAATCTGAAATATTTTTTTAGATTAGTTATATATTTTATGTAATTATGAATAATTAATAATTTAATTTAAATAAATAATAACATATTAATGACCTTATGTATAGAAATTTATAAAAATCTATATAATATGTATCTTAGGCTCTTTATTGATATATTATCACCAAATTTTCATGATATCTTCATATCCTACTATATAGAGAGGGAGGGGAATGACACAATAAAAGGGGGTAGGTGGGAGTTTTGTAAAATAAAATAAAAAATAAAATTCATGAGATGGAGTAGACCATAATTTTCACTAATATATATTTCTTCATATAATATTAACTATTAAAGTATTCATTTCTTGTATATTTATACCTTATTCATAATTATTTCAATATTAATGTACTGGGGAGTTTTATTAATGTATCTATCAGTTGGTTAGTACAAACAAAGTATATCCAGATCTAATTTGACACGTTTGTAGGGGCTGTCCCACGACCACGAATAAAGGCGATGTGGCGTGATCTCAAGGGGGATTCCAGGAAAAACTTAAGGTGAGTATTTAACATAGGATCGGATCTCAGAATCGTAGATTGGGGCTCCTCAGCCACCGGATTGGCGCAATTCATTGGGGGCTACCCAAATCATGGCCGTTTATTTATTTCTGAGTGATGTTGAAACTTGAAACGCTTATCATCTTAGCAAATAACGACGAACGATTGAGCGGATTCCATTCTAGTCGCTCAGCACTCACTCAGTCTGACTGAGTGAGTTCGTTCAGTGAGTAGTGAGTAGTGACTGAAACATGCAGCGGTCTTCTGTTCTATCTCCCTCGCCCACTTCATTCTCTCCGTTCTATCCTCTCCCCAGTAGGCAAGCCGTCGAAGTTCTGTTCAGAAATCGTTGCAGGAGCTCCACTAAGTCGTATCCATGGACAAAGCTACAATCCAGTTGTTCCTTTTCTTATCGAAATACCATTCCTGTTCAACGGAGCACTGGTAACGTGGTTCTCTGAATTTTCTTTTCATAAGTGATATGATTATTGATAATGCTTTGGATTTGAAATGGTTTCGCTTTTTATGCATTTTCTAGCAAGTTGTTTACTGGGTTTTAATTTTTGTTATCTGTCTTGCACCTTTATTTTTCGTTTTCATGAATCCTGACCGAGATTTGTTCAACTTCTCTGCCATTAAAAATTGATCTTTCGAAGATTTTTTTTATTGGTCTTTCCGTTTCGTTTTTTTCCTGTTATGGGTTTTGTTTAATCTGTTTTTTCCTTAATACTTATGAGCTGTTTTGTTCTGTTCTATGAATTTATGCTTCAGCAATTGAAGAAGCTGTTGAAACTAGCAGTGACGAATCAAAATTTATTGAAATTGGGTATATATCCACTGTACATGGGATTCAGGGAGAGCTTCGTGTAAAACCCACCACTGATTTCCCTGAATTGCGGTTTGCAACGGTAAAAGCTATTCAGAAGAGGGATGCTGAGCAGTTTGATATGGATTAATATTCTTCGTTTAGTCTTATAGGAATTTATTGTTTTCAGCCGGGAAGCAGATGGTTGAGGGACCGAGTTTCTGGAAAAGAGAGAATTCGAGAAGTTGAGCTGGTTGAGGGAAGAGGACACCATGGACAGAAGGGATGGATTGTTAGTTTTGACGGAATTGATACAGTGGAAGAGGTCAGTTTAACATGACTGGGTTATCATTTGGATGTCAAAATTAAAGTCATTTTTACGTTTCCTTTCTAGACATAAATTCTCTCCTGTTGCAGATATTGAAACTTCTATGTGAGTGTTAGGTCTGATCGTTAGAAAATTGACATTTCCTGAGCCAACATAATTGATCCCTTTCAGCTTGGGAGATGTTTCTATAGCACTTTTTATATTGAAAAACAAAATTAATATAACTTTTTTCTTTTATTTCAGTTTTTCCAATTACATATTATCCATAGAAATCACCTTTTCAGGCTTATCAACTTTAATACTGTTTCTGGTCTCAATGTATTTTAGCTACGCATGTCTCCAAAATTAACATTTTCAGGTTAATCTTCACTTGGAACTTTGCATTCCCAACTGAAAAAGGAAGTTTACTCAGGATTCAAAGCTAACTCATTCCTCACCCTTTTCCTTCTTCTTCTTCATTTTAAATTACTTTCTTTAGGCGGTTGTCAAATGCATGGAAAGTTGAAGAATGTTTGCATGTCTTTTTTACACTATGAGTAAGTTGTATATAGTATAATAGCAATAGTATGTCTGACTCTTTTGTATTCATCTTGTTCCTTTTCAGGCTAGGCAGCTTGTTGGGTCAACTATACTTGTAAGAGAAGAAGACAGGCCAGTTTTGGATGAAGGCGAGTTTTATACTCCTGATCTTGTTGGTATGAGAGTTATTCTCAAGGTTTGGACTTCATAATACTTATATCCACTTTAGTGAGTGACTTTCTGATTACTTTTATTAGTGAAATATGAGTGTCTTTTAATAGGTAGATTCTTCCAATATGAGTGTCTTTCACCCTTTGTGATCATTATCCTTTTTCTTTTTGATAAATAAAAAGACTGTATATAATAGCCACAAGAAATAAACAATACAAGCATCCCAGGTAGAGGCACGAGATGCTACCTCTCACTTAGACATTAGAAAAGATAGAAAATACAGAAATCAATTGCAACTGAGCCAATTACAAGCTGTCTCTGTTTACCCCTTGTTTAGCTAACCCATCTGCTATGCATTAGCTGTTCTCCTAATCTAATTTATTCTCATGTTATTCCTGGTTATCCATTTAAATTTCTTTGTCTCACCCCTATAACACCAAATTATCAAGTCTGGATCTTTCAACCAACCAATTACCTGCTTTGAACCCCTTCAATCTCCAAATTTGTCACACCCAGTTCATTTGCAATCTGTACCCCTTTCATGATAGCAAGCAGTTCCACCCTCATAGAGTCCCCTGATCCCACAGGACTGGAGAATAGAGCCATAATGTTTCCTTCCTTGTTTCTCAACACCCCTCCTATACCTGAGGGGCCTGGATTGCCTTGGCTAATCCCATCGAAGTTTAATTTCACGAAGTCTTCAGCTGGGGGCATCTACAAAACCTTCTCTTTTACTCTTGAGGAGGAGATTTTTGCCACTGCTTTCCCCCTTGTGATCATTATCCTGAAAAGCTTCAAGAAGAACTATGTGAATTGGACATTGACGTCTGTAATTGTCTTACACACAATACAAGTGTCATAAAGAATGGCCCTATCAAACCATGATTCTCATTGTTTATTTCATATCATATGGGTACATTTTAATGTTTAAACATTTGGGTTCATACAAGTATAAACAGGACAGCAATATACCATGGAAGGCTGATATGCAACACAAACTAAAATGTAAATACTTGGTGAAAACAAGGTATTTGATTAACTGAGAATTTTTTGGATGAGCATTGGTATGTATCCATGTCAGGAAATATGATAAAAGTGTCTGAAACAACCACATTGTCAGAAGTTGTGGTGTGTTAGTTGCAAAGTTCCATTATAGGAGGATGTCTATCTTAAAAGGAACCTTTTGTTTGATATTGTACACATCATACTTCTTATTTCTTTCTTTGTTTATTTGTCTTTAGCATGTCTATATAACCTTCTCATATTTGAATCCATACTTTTTCTTTGAAATTATAGAGCACCTCTTTTTTCTGTCGTTCTTCTTTCTGTTTCCTTTTCTATCTTGTCACTCTGAGATTTTTTCTTAGGTTGTGTTTAGTTGCAGTGCAAATTTATTTGCACTGATGCAAAATTATGGTAGTGCAAATGATTTGGGTGCAAATTCTGATTTATTTTTGTTTCAAAATTTTCCTTATTTTTGTTTCAAAATGAAGTAAAACAAGACCTCAAGCAAAATAAAGTAAAATCCCAAAACAAAATTAAACCAGAATTTGCATTCTTTTCATTTGCACTCCCATGCATCTATACTAAAGCAAATAAAATTTCACTGCAACCAAACACAACCTTAAGAATGATATTTGCAGCTTCTATTTTCATAAGCACTGATTATAATTTTTGCATATTAACTATAGGACACAAATGAAGCAGTTGGTACTGTCATTGATGTCTTCAATAGCGGTGCTGGTGACCTTTTGCAAGTAATGCTTAATCCATCTGAAGGAATGGTAGGAACTGGTTTATCAAAATCAGAAACTGGTATTTCTGGGCGCCTTGTTTGGGTCCCATTTGTTGAAGCAATTGTTCCTGATGTTGATATGACTAGAAGAGAAATGCATATTACACCTCCAAAGGGGCTTCTGGAGTTGAATTTACGTTCTGATATGAGGTCCAAGAAAGAAAGGCGCAAGCTGGTTAGGCCTGTTTCTTTATTTGTTTTTATATCTTATGAGTTATTTAGGTGATTTTCTGGACCATTCCTGTCACATATTACCATCAAGAGCATCTTCTTCCCAACGTCTTGGCATTACTTTTATTTGCATTATGGTTTCTCTAAAAAACAAAATGCCTGCCTCGATATCAATTTGGAAGATAGCACAACAAGATTCCAATGTATATTTTGCATGAATTCCTATTCTAGAAATTGAATATGTATCATGTTTTTAACGTCAATATTACAGCTACTATGCCTTCCTCTCTTGTGTGCATCTATGTATGGAGTTGCCTTGCATATAATGAGTTTCCTTAAAGACCACATGCACCAATTCAAATACCTTCATAAAGTAATATTCAAATATTAAAAGAACTTCATGACATTCTACTTTTGTTCATTGGATTTTTGTGTATGAGATGAATGGCAAAACTCTTTTTAAAATAAGAAGATTAATAACAGGAGTTAACAGTAAAGGCATTTGATTTTCTGTCTTTAATACTGTGTTAGCTGTGGAGAAAAAAAAATTAAAGTTGAATTAGTTGTATTTGTGGAGACATATTCCCTAGACATAATTTAAATGAAGTGGTGTCCTTCATCATGTACTATTAGTTACTTGTACGCCTAAGACATTGCTTTTTTTTTTCAATAAAAAAGTAGAAAATTTTATTAAAGAAAAAAAAGAAACAAGTACCATGGGAGCTTTGTGGCCCCAACAAAAAAATGGCTGCCCAGAATGAGCATAAGTGTACATTGGTCCCATATCACTTGATCTCCAAAAGGCCGCCGCACATTTATTAGACAAAAACAACATTCTTAGTGGCACTTAAAGACACACATCCCTCAATAAAACCACCCTCCACTCCTCACAGAAACCATATAACTACCAATCGCAAGCAGACGTCCCTAGGACACTAATTTACCAATTGATAAATATAACTTTCCAGTTGCTGCTCTTTTTCATTTGGAAGGATATACACATCTAAAACTGCATATAATATTGTATTTCTAGGCTTTTTGTGGGATATTTAGTTAAGGTGATGACTCTAAAAATCTCGTCATTCTTAAAGGGGAGGTGGCCTATCAGTTACTGGTAAAGAAAATGGGATGGTATTTTACTGCAATACCACTACCTGTATCAAATTTTATGTAAGAGAATGAATGTTATTGTCAGAATTTTTCTCTTTCAACTCCCATTTAGGATTTTTTAGCTAGGTTACCCAGATATGGTGAGGACACAGCTGGATGCGGTATTGGAAACAGAGGTTACACTGAAAATTGAAGTATCTGACACAATACGGTACCTTTATACAGGTACCTGTATGTCATAGATTTTTGGGTCATGGCTTCATGCCAAATTAGTTAGGACATTAGGGTGTATAGCTGTTGTGGTTGCTCTCCTGATAATCTAGTTATTAATTGGTTTACCAAAACATTGCAGGAATGGAAACAAAGAAAGAAGTTCCAACAGCGCCTCATAGCAGCAAAGAAGAAACTCTGTGAAATGGAACAGAAACATCTGTTTGAAGGGTTTAGATTTGGAGAGAAAGAACAGAGGAGCATGCTAGCGGATCAGATTGTGACTGTAAATTCCAGCCTCCTCCAACTTGCATTGCAGAATACTCAAATGCACACTGAGAGGTGAAGTGCAATTTATTTTATGGTGAAGAATTCAATCTTATGAAATATGAATTGGATCCATCATTTTATAATCCAATCAGCATATTTTGAGGGAGGTCATTATATTTATCTAAAACTTGGAGGAGATGATGAAGTTTTTTGTTCAAAATCAAGAAAAAAAAATCATGCATCTTGAAATTCTTTTGAAGCTTTAAAAACATTATTTTAAAATTTTAAGTTTTTAACCATGTCCACTGTTTGTTGATACCTCGTGATAGGATCTGAAGAGATTTAAATGAGTTAATTAGATAAACCTTTCCTGCTCAAATCCTAAATCATAGATGAGTCATCCATCTATTTTATTATGAACCAACTCAGCCATTCATTAGAGATTCTTGTTAGCATACTATTAAGGTTGATGCAATGGGACATACTCTTCTTCTAAATGAATATCTTTCTTCTTGATGAGATAAATATTCTTAATATTTGGTCTCAAAGATCATTTTGCTACATTACTTGAATTGGAAATTTTGAAGCCTTCTAGATTTATTTGACAGTTTCTTTCTTCATCATTCATCAGATCTTATCTTTCACTGTCCATAGGGAGGTGCTATTTAGTAATTTCCTTTGCATGGTCTTCATTCATTTGTTTAATCAGGGAAAAGTTTTGAGCCCACTCCTTAGTTCTTGCAGACCTTGAATAGGTATTCAAGATACCTTATGCCTGCTCACTTCTCTCAATGATGGTTGGGCCTGGTTCTTAGACATAGCAGGATTGTCTAGAATATGCTCTTACATGCCATTGTTTTTGGTGCATTTGGAACAAGAGGAATGAAATGATACAGTATTCATGGCAAATTGTCTCCTACTCAAGCCAGTTTTAGCAAGGTACTTTTCAAATTCAAAATGATCTAAATGACTTGAGGATGGACAAGTACATTGTTTAATCTTCAACTTGGTCTTTTAATGCTAGAGAGGAACTATTCTAATAATCAGGTACATCTAATGATCTAATCTTATATTTGATCAATGCTTAGAGATGTGGGGTTCAAGTATGATAGGAATCTACAGAAATTATGGAGTGGTGCTTTCTTACTGATGATATATTGTCAATTATAATTTGAAACACTTATGAGGCTTTTGGAGTTCCATGGGCCAAGAACTACCAAATATCTTAGGTTTTTAATGTGGTTCTAACATTGTTATTCACTTGGGAAAGTGTCCAGGGAAGGGACTTGGTTATTTCCCTCCATAATCAAAGAGCTCTTCACCTTAGCTGGTCTTTGGAGATCTTATTTAATGGTTTAATGGGTATGAAGTATGCTACTGAGATTGCAGAGGATCTGTAGCTAGTAATGAAAGCTTGTTGACGAAATTGTTTTTTTTCTCTGTTCCCTTCTTTGAAGACAGAAAAATCTGTTAATGCTATATTCTATAAAGTCAATTTAGGTTTATCTTTGTAGATCGTGAAGTTAGTGGAAAGTTATTTGAAAAAAACTTTTTTTTTTGATGAATGAATGGTATTTTATTAAATAGAGATAAAAATAGTACAAGCATGAAGCACCCTAAGAGGAGGCACGAGGTGTTACCTGATGAAATGGATGAAAGTAATGAAAATATTTTGACATCAGCTGAATCAGTTGTTGTATGTTAGTGCTGGAATTTCAGACAGTGGTCTGAAGTTTGTCTTTAACTAAAAGCCTAATTACTAGGCCTTAGTCCTTAATGAAAAGAAGAGGTGATGAACATCTTAGGGAGGCAAAGACATTGCAATATCATTTTGCATCAAATGAATCTTTATGGGATGGGCTTGACTTTGATGTTAAATTGCACTGTGTTGAATATCTTCATAAATTTTAGTAATAATAATAGCAACTTATGATTTCTTTGTAATTGTATCTTTTGGAAGTAAAATGATTTGTTGACTCATTTTCCAGTTTCAATTTTTATCATAATTGGCTGTTATTTTTATTTAAAACTAGATTTTTTTTTTCAATCAAATAAAAGTAATGAAGTACTTCAGTAATTGTGACTGATGTCTTTAGTTTTCTTGTTTGACTTCTTGCACCAGATGGGATTTATCGAACTTCATCAGTGCTAAGCAATTGAAAAGGCCTTTCAGTATATCAAAGGAATGCCTCACACCTAGGGGGAGCAAAGAGAAGCTGGATAGAAACCATGAGTTACAACGAGCAGGAGTTCGTCTCTTGTCTGAAGGAAAACATGCAGTTGTTGTAGTAGTGAGTGGCAGTAACAGTCAGGAAGATGGATCCATACCCAAAAATGTTGATTCTGAAAGTGAAGAGAATTCATCAAATGCCTCCCTTCTTCAGGAATTACTTCATGATGATGAAAGATTTGCAAAGGTCGCATAATTTTTCATTTTCAAATGCTACTATCTGGTGCTTGATAAAGATCTGAAAATATACCTCATTCTGTCTTTTGTTGCATAAAATTATTTGGAGTCAGTTGGCCATTACCCAATGTTGATCCCGGCTGTCTAGGGTCTTGGGAGGAGTGGACTGGATAAAGACCTAATATTTGGCATTTTTTGCATAAAGTGGCTGCTCTCATACGTGAATTCATGTTCCTCAAACTTGTCAGCCTGAGATTTTACCATCAAATGAAGCAGTGGCCCCTTATATTTAAATTATTATAGTCTGCAGATACATGACAGTGAATATGGTTGTCTATTTACACCACCACTGGAGTCAACCTCATGCCATAACTATCTTTTGCATACCGACATGTGCATAATGTCAAACTGCATATTGATCATTATATATGCAACATTTATGTAACATGATCTAAGACTAATGTTGTAAAATTGCAGATAAAAGAAGAGCATGTCTCAGTACCTCTAGTTATTGTTTCTCCATCTCAAGAAATCCAATCATTGAAAAAGCCTTTTCTGGATCATGATTATTTTTCTCTTGACAGTGAAAAGGTTTGTACACTTCAACTCCTGAATGGTACCAGTAATATTATTTGCTGCAACAATTTGCATGCAGTATCTTTATTTTCTACTAAAGTACTAATTTAATCAGCCAATAACTTGAAATTAGGTTTGTTGTTCCTTCCATGATGACTTGTTCTTCTTTCCTTTTCTATTGTGAGATTGCACAGTTTTCACTTTGTTTTGATTATGTATGGCTGTTCTGGTTAGTATATGATGCAATTTTCTTCATATTACTTAATTTTAGGTTGCCATTGCACAATGCTGGATAAAATAATACAATAGAAAGTCATGTAATGTACTGAAGATTTAACAAGTTAGGAACTATTTTAGGGTTCTTCTGTTGAAGCTTAGGCCATTAATTTCTTGTATAGGGGATGGGAGAGTAAGCATGCTCTTGTCTCTTGTTCTTCCTCTTTTGTAGGTCTTTTCTTCTACCTTACTTTTATTCTTCAATAAAATAAATCTCCTTGATATGGTCACTAGTAAAAAAAGTTTGTTTTCAGTGGAAATGCTGCTTGGAGATTTCAGGACTGTTAGAATATTGTTAAAAATGGTGAAAACTGAGTTCATTGGATTTATTTATTGATATTTTAGGAAATATAGTATATTCATAGGTACACACTTTCTAATTAACATAGCATGATAAACTACCATATAAATTGAGGAATACAAGTACAGGAATCAAGGTTCAAAGTATTGACACACCTGATACGCATGAACAAGCGTCTTGGGTGTTTTGATAAATAACTTTTTTTTTTTTTAGTTTTTTTTAATTGCTTCAGGGGGATTGATTTTAGACATGCCTACCTCCTGAAAGTGCTCAAAATCTGAAAAAACAAAATTCTTATTTGGGGTATTAGAGAGCTCCCGATACGATATGATGTATCGTATTGAAATTTTGAACCTTGACAGGAAGCATCACCCTGGTGTATATCAGATTGGGCTTAGGTTGAGGGCTTAAAGGTGGTGGTTATCCCTGAGAATTGAAGTTGATTCGAGCAGTGCAAGTAGATGGCAACTGGAGTTGAGTGGCTCTGGAATTGGTTCATCTCAGCAGGAAGATCATGTCCATTACTGTAGCAAGCTTACAATTTCTTGTTTCTAGATTTTCAGGGATCATAATGCCTTGGATGATAGTTTCACCAAGTGCTCTATGCTGGTTATGTATAGAGACTAAATCCTCCTGTGCAAATCCCTATTTTGGGGTCTAACATATAGGCTTGTCGCTTGTAACATCCACTTTTTGGTAAACATACAGTTTCTGTAAAGCTTCTTGGTTCATCATTATGTACTTGAATGCTACTTATCAATGTATAAGGCTTTGACCTTAGTTTATAAAAGAAAGTAAACCTTTATTCTTAATATAATTCCTTGCAGTCTTTTTTTCTTTATATAGACTGGATATTCTTCCTTTTTGAAAATGTTCAATATTAATTAGAACTAAGACTTTATATTTCCTCCCTGACATTTTACTTTAAAATAGTGTGTGTTCTGTATGATTCTGAGTTCTGATATTACTTCATCCTCTGGATATTTTCATAGGTCTGGTTTCTAGAGGAAGAGAGGTTACCGATTCTTAGCAGTTCATCTGAGGAGAAAAAGAGACACAAAATTTTGCTGAAATCACCATGGGAGATACTCCAATCACCAGTTGGATCTGGTGGAGTTTTCAGCTTACTCTCATCCCACAACATTCTAGAGAATTTCAGTGAAATGGGTGTGGAGTATGTGCAGGTTAGGCATTTCTTGGAACTTGGTTCTTTGCATATAGAAATTAATTAAAATTCTAGAATATACATTTGGTACTACAGACTCTGTCAGAGTTCTATAATATCTAATGTAAATCCTGTATTTACATGTTTTCTCTGTACTAGTATAATGTTCGGCCAGAAAATTTCTAGGAATTATTTGGTTGTATTTTTTTCAAAATTAATCCCCATGGTTGAACCTCCTATTGTCTTCTATAGTATGTTGAGTATGGAAGGCAAATAATCTAAACCACATCATTAATTCCTATTCTAACTGTTTAAATTGTAAATGAATTTTCAGTTTTATTGGTAATTTTTTTTTTGGAAAAGGTAAGGTATTTTATTAAATAAAAAACCAGTACAAAGGAGCCTAGGCCATTAGAGGCTGCCTAGAGCCACCACAAATTACGGATACATCCAGTTCTGAGATCTAAACAACAGACTCAAATTCTGATTTTTAAACCCCTCTGTTGCCGACACCCAGGACAGAAGTTTACCCACGGCTTTCTGCACCATTTCCTCTGGAGATTTAGCTTTGCCCTGAAAAATTCTGTTATTTCTTTCAATCCAGATAGTCCAAAGCACAGCAGCCGGGATAGTCTT